GCGCGAGCGAATCACCATATCGACCACGAAGTCGACGGCGTGGCGCGTGTTGCCCTCGATGGTGAGGACATCGCGTCCGTAGCGCGAGATCGTCTGGTTGTGCGTGCCAGCGTCGAACTGGAAGTAACCCAGGCCACCTTGCCTGCGCGAACAGGCGCCATCGCCCGAACCCGCGATCACTGGCCCGCCACCGCAAGATGCCGATGCAGGTCCCTTGCACGCCCAGGTCGCCTCGGACCAGCAGTGCGCCATGCCCGTCTCGGCGTTGGCGATCCCTGCCAGCAAGAATGCGTTGCTCAGGCCGGCGTCTGCTGCCGCGCGTTGGATGACTTGACTGCGCTGGCGACGCTGCGAGGAGTTGAGGTTGCTCGTGATCTCCGAGACCTCGCCCTCATCTTCGCCGTCGACTTCGAACGTGCCCTCTCCACATGCCGTCAGCAGCAGAGAAATCATCAGGAGGCTCATCCAGAAAATCGAGTTGCGCGTGTTCATCAATGTCATGTTTCGGCTCCGCCGGTTTTTGAATCGATTGCGTCCAACAAGTTGCTCGCCAAACATCCAATTCAAGGTGCGTGCCAACAATTCATATCTCGCAAACAGACTTCTCGTGCGCTTTGCACCGTCCCTCTTTCTAGTAGATCCCGCGGGGTTCATGTCCCATGGGTGTGCTGTGTATGCCACGGTGTGGTGTTCGTGTCTCTTTTTTTGCTGGTTTTGTCCTTCTTGTTTCTTGTCCCCCCTCAATCCCCTGGTTTTGTCCCCCCAACCCCCCAGTATCCTCGCGAGAAGAAGCGACGCGCGCTTGGTCGCTGCGCGTGGCGTGTGCGCCAAGGCTCGACTGCTCTGCGTTTGTCTCCCATTGGCGCCCCCGCCATGCTTGCTCCCTCACCGCGTCTTTCTTCTGCTCGGTGGGGGGCTCCGTCGCATGCAAAACGCAAAGCTTCAATGAGGTTGCCCGAGTGATTTCATCACTGCATAACTCGACCGTTCGGCGAGGCACCAAGTCCTATTCTCTCAGTGCAGATAAAAGCCTTCGGTGGAGCACCCAAAGTCCTATTTTCTCAGTGCAAAACTCGACCCTTCGGTGAGGCACCCAAAGTCCCCCCCTGCATAGCTCCGCGAGACGCAGTCGAGCGGATGGTCGTGTCTTGCGAGCGCAGCGAGCGAGGCGCGGATGCAGGGACTGCCCGAAAAACAAGCATAGTTCCGCGAGACGCAGTCGAGCGGATGGTCGTGTTTATTTTTCAGAGAGCGAAGCGGTGAAAAATGAGCGCGAATGCAGAGGAAAATGCAAATGCTACCAGAGGGGATTGGGGACAAAACCAACTTAAGGGGAGAAACAGGGACAGAAGAGAGAAACAAAGCGCGGGGCATCTTTCCCTTGTACGACCGCAGCGCTCGAAAGATGATGCCCGTCGGGTGCGCTCGCGCGGTGCCAGGGTTGACGCGCAGACATCTTGTGAATGGCATAAAGAAAGAGGAGTACGGATGAGCGGGTTGATGCAGGAACTCGAAGAACTTGGAGCACAACACCTCGAGGCGATCCATACGTTGATCGATAAGGTGTTATCGCGTGAGGTGGGCGAGGAGGGCTCGCTCACGCAAATGACCCGCTACCATATGTCCACGGGCGGCAAGCGCCTTCGCGCGCTACTGCCGCTGGCGGTCGCCAGCGCGATGGGCGTCGAGTCTGAGAAGCTGATCCCTTTTGGCGCCGCGTGCGAGCTCTTGCATAACGCGACGCTCGTGCACGATGACCTCCAAGATGGGGATCGCGTTCGCCGCGGCAAGCCGACCATCTGGGTCGAGTATGGCGCCGCGCGCGCGATCAACCTCGGTGACGCGATGCTCTATGCCACGATGTTGCTGGCTGATGAGCTCGACTTCGATGTCGCGCACCGCCACGAGGCGATGACGCGCATCGCGCGCGAGACCTTGCGCGTGGTCGACGGTCAGGAGCGCGAGTTCTTGCTCAAGGAGATCGAGCGCCCCGACACGTCCGATTACTTCGCCATGGTCGAGGGGAAGACGAGCGGGCTCTTCGCGCTCCCCGTCGCTGGCGCTGCGGCGTTGTGTGGCGCATCGGATGATCTGCTCGGCGCGCTCCAGGAGGTCACCCGTCACCTGGGCGTGGTCTTCCAGATCCAGGACGATGTCCTCGATTTGTATGGAGATAAGGGGCGCGAGCAACCTGGCTCGGACATCGGAGAGGGCAAGATCTCGATGCTCGTGGTGCACGCGCTCCACAACAGCAGCGAGGAGGACGCGATCTGGTTGCGCGGTCTGTTGCGTCGTGACCGCGAGGATGTGCGCCCAGAAGATGTACAGCGAACCTCGGCGCTGTTCATCAGCTCGGGCGCCGTCAAGGCCGCCTTCGACGAGATCGATCGTCGCGCCGGGATCGCCGCCGAGCACGCGCTGATTCGCGAGTACCCCGAACTCCACGCTCTTATCAATGGCATGGCCGAGGTCTTCCTCGCCCCTATCGAGAGCGTGCGCGCCAGGCTCCTCGGCTCCTGAACCTCACCACTTCTCATCGAATTATTTTGCTCGCGCTCGCGGTTGGGCCAAATAATGGCGCGAGGTGTCCTCTGTTCTGTATCAGAGAGGACCTCACGCCACGGATTGGCAAAGCACGCGAGGAGTCATGGTAGACGAGAGCAAGTCGAGCAAGTCGCTCGGGCGGCGGATGGGTTTGGCCGCGGTGATGTTGTCGGCGAGTATCCTGCTGAGCAGGATACTCGGCTTTTTGCGCGATGTGATCGTGACGACGTGGCATGGCGCGGGCGCAGCCAGTGATGCCTACTACGCCGCGTTCACGCTCCCCGAGGTCATGAACTACTTTCTGGCAGGCGGGACGCTCTCGATCACGTTCATCCCGTTGTTCTCCTCTTACATGAACAAGGGTGATGAGGATGGCGGTTGGCGCCTGTTCTCGATCGTGGCCACCACGATCGGCACGCTGCTGCTTGTCGCCTCGGTGCTCCTCGAGCTGTTCGCACCCCAGCTCGTCCCCATCCTTTATCCCGGCTTCGATGACCCCGAACAGCTCGCGCTCACGATCGCCATGACGCGAATCGTGATCCCCGCGCAGCTCGCCTTTTATATAGGAGGCTTGCTCCAGGCGACGCTCTTTGTCCGCGAGACCTTCTGGCCATCAGCCCTCTCACCGCTGATCTACAACCTCTGTATTATCCTCGGAGGCGTCCTCCTCGAGCCATGGTTTGGCATCCAGGGTTTTGCCGTCGGCGTGCTCGTCGGGGCGTTGCTCGGGCCGCTCGGGTTGCCGCTCTTCGCGTCCTGGAAACACCTGAAGTTTCGACCGAAGGTCGACCTCTCCGACCCTGGCTTTCGCAAGTTCGTGGTGCTCACGTTACCGCTGATGCTCGGCGCGACGCTCGTCACCGTGGACGAGTGGTTGCTCAAGGTCTTCGGCTCACTCTCCGAGGATGGCGCGATCACCTGGCTCAATCACTCGCGCAAGCTGATGATGGTGTTGTTTGCCGTGATCGGTCAGGCCGCGGGGCAGGCCGCTCTGCCTTACCTCTCCAGGCTTTTCGTCGAGGGCAAGGAAGAGGAGATGGGTGAGATGCTCGCCACGAGCTTGCAGCGCGTGGTGTTCCTCTCGATCATCGGCGCGGCGGGGCTGGTCGCGCTCTCCGAGCCGATCGTCTACACGCTCTACCATCGCGGAGAATTCACCGTCGCTGATGCCAACCAGACGGCCACATTGCTCGTGTTGTTTAGCCTCGGGATGACCTCGTGGGCGTCACAATCACTCGCTGTGCGAGGGTTCTACGCGCGCCAGGATACGCTCACGCCGATGATCGTGGGCTTTTGTGTCCTGGCGGTGAGCGCGCCCGTGTACTGGCTGCTCCATCGAAGCTTCGGGGTCGAGGGGTTGGCGATGGCGACGACCATCGGCATCACGCTCAACGTGTTGGCGATCGTGTTCGTGTATCGCTGGCGCGCGGGCTCGCTGCCACTCGGTGGGGTCGTCAAGGGGTTGCTTCGAGGGCTGTTGTTTGGCGCGCTCGGAGGTGTCGGCGCCAGAGGGGCGCTCTGGTTGTTGTCGGGGATGCTCGAGCGAGAGACGTTTCTTGGCGCGGCCCTCGAACTCACCGCTGGTAGCGTCGCGTTCGGCATCCTCGCCGGCGGCGCGATGTGGTTGATGCGACCACCAGAGATCGAGGTCGTCATGGAGAAAGTGCGCCGTAAGTTGAAGCGAGGAGCGTAAAACAAGATCGTAAACTACAAATGCGCCTCGCGAATTTTGGACGCGAGGCGCAAGAAAAAGAAGAGGCGCTCTCTCTTGCAAGAGAACGCCTCTTCTTTTGATGAATGTGTCACTTCTTTGGGAAGCGACAACCTTCAGCTCGAACCTCAGTCGTTGATGAGGTCTTTGAGCGTAGGCGAAGGCTTGAAGTTCACCGTGTTCGAAGCCGGGATCGTGATCGGCTCCTTCGTGCGAGGGTTGCGACCTTCGCGCGCTTTACGGTGCTTGACCGTGAAGGTGCCGAAGTTAGGGTACGAGAAGCGCTGCTCCTCGTTGATCGCTGCCGAGACTTTCTCGAAGAGGATGTCGATAAGCTCGCCGGTAGCCTTTTTGGTGAGCTCGATCTCAGCGTCCGCGGCTGCCTCGTTAACTGCGTTGATAAGTTCGCTCTTGGTCATGATCTACCTCATAAGAGTTGTTTAAACGGTTCGAGGTTAATGGGCAGTTGGCCAACGGGTTCTTCACTCCGACACAAACCTCGTCCAGAGTTTGCACTCTTTTTGGGGTTTTTATGTACGAATGCTGAATGGCCCGCATGAATCAAGGCGGAGTGTAGATACGGTGTAAAGGGCTGTCAAGGCGTCAACGTAGAAAAAGACAAAGATCCTCGACCTTTTTTTCCCGCGGCATTCTGCGCCCATCTCGGATTTCGCCCTTTTTTCACCCCACCTGAAACCGTCTGGCGAGTTGTTTGTTTTGTTAGGTTGCTGGAATTGTTGGGTTTTTATCTTGTGAGTTGCAGCAGCTCCGCAGCCTCGGAGGGCGTCGCGATGGGCCTGCCTGCTTGCTCCGCGTAGTCGACGACCGCGTCGACAAGTTCCCAACTCCCCCTGGCGAGCACCCCTTTGCTTATATAAATGTTGTCTTCGAGGCCCACGCGAACGTGCCCGCCGCGATCGATGGCCGCCTTCGCGAGCGGGAGCTCGTGGCGGCCCATGCCCGCCACAGACCACGTGCTCCCCTCTGGTAACATCCCGATAAGAAAGTCCAGGCTCTCGATGCGCGCGCTCATTCCTCCCTGGACGCCGAGCACGAAGTCAAAGTGCAGCGGCGGCTCGAGCAACCCCTCCTTGATAAGGCGCAGCGCTGTATCCACCATCCCCGTGTCGAAGATCTCGACCTCGGGTCGCACTCCCTTCTCCTTGAGGCGCTCGGCGATCGTGCGGATCGTCGGGAGGTCATTCATAAAGACCTCCTCGCCAAAGTTCACCGTGCCCGTGGTCAGGGTCGCCATATCCGGGCAATGATCGAGCCCTTCGATGCGCTCCTCGACGCCCATGCCGACCGCGCCGCCGGTGGAGAACTGCACCAGGACATCGCTGCGCTCTCGGATCAACCTCAGGATCTCGCCAAAGGTCTCGCGATCCTGGGTCGGCGCGCCGTCATCCTTTCGGCCATGCACGTGCACCATCGCCGCGCCCGACTCCCTGCATCGGCGCGCTTCCTCAGCGATCTCTTCGGGCGTGTAGGGGACATGCGGGGTGTGCTCTCGCATCACCTCCGCGCCGACGATCGCTGCCGTGATCATAAGAGGGGTTGTCATGGCGAAGTCTCCTTATCCTTTGCTCTGGTCGCGTTGAAACTCGACGGGGACGACACACGTGCCGCTCGCGCGGCACACATCGACGGGAGGATCGAGCACCACTGCCCTGCCTGGCTGCGCGGCGTCACCCGCGAGCTCGATGACCTTGCGCGCGACGAACTCCATGCGGCGGCTGCTGTTTCCAACCTTCGTGATCTTTCCCACCGCCTCGATGTAATCGCCCGCCTTGACCGGGGCCAAAAACTCCACCGAGTCGTAGGCGCGAAAGAGCCCCTCGTCGCCATCGTGGCGAATCAGAAGCTCGGTGGCCACGTCACCGAACAGCTTGAGCATGTGCGCGCCATCCACCAGATCCCCGGCGTAGTGGGCTTGCTCCATGCCGATCCTGACGCGGATCATGACTTCCTCTTGCTCGGCCATCTTCTCCTCCTTTTCATCTCTCCGATCGATAAACGGCTCATCGGCCCATTCTTATCCCGATCTGCTGCGCGAAGACAACGCGCGAGCAAAAAAGAAGGCGCCGGGTGAAAATCACCCGGCGCCTTTAGCTCTCACTCACGCCCTGTGCTCACAGGGCTTGGTTGCATTCAGGGAATGCTCGGGAAGCCATTCGAGTGGACGAGGTCACGCTCGAGGTACTGCTTGGAAGGCCACACGATGGAGCCAACCTCCCAGAAGAAGTCCTCGCGCTCGAGGAACTTGTCCTTGAGCTCCTTCTTGAGCGTGCCTTCGATGTAGATGCGGATCGTGGCGTAGCTCTGACCGAAGCCGTTGTCGTTGTAGTAGTAGACGCCGATCGTGTAGGACTTGCCCGACTCGGGGTTGTCGTGGTTGACGTTCTCAGGGCCTGCGCCGTCGGTGTCATCGATGTCGAGCGAGGGGTCGTCGGTCGTGTTGCCCTGGACACCCCAGTCAGCCTCGGGGTTGCGCCAGAAGATGTCGTAGGGTTGCACGTCCCAGCGGCCACGTGGGTGCAGGTAGTGGAGGTCGAGGTCGGTACCGAACGTGTCGGTCTCGTCGTTGTCGTCTGGCGTCTTCCAGACGAGCTGGACGTGGATGTCCTCGTCAGGCGTCGCCTGGATGACCACGCGGCTCGCCTCACAGCTCTCGAGGCCGAGCGCGTCGATTGCCTTGAGCTCGATGACGTACTCGCCAGCGAGGTCGAGGAAGAGGCGAGGCTCTGGAGAGGTGTTGTTAGGCGTGAAGCGCGAGGTCGAGTTGGTCGGTGCCGAGACAATCGACCACTCGTAGCGCTGGACCTGGCCATCGGAGTCTGTCGAGTTCAAGCCCGAGAACTGGATGGTCTTGAGAGGAATCGTCGAGATTTGCTGCGAGGGGCGACCCGAGCTGCCGACGATGGTCGCCTCGGCGAGCGCCGTGGGGCACACGTTGTTGGTGCCGCGGCCGCTGACGTCGATGCGAAGCTCGCGGTTGACCTCGTCGTTGCTGCGCAACACGATGCGCCCTTCGTTAAGCTCTTCTGCTTCAGGCGTGTAGCTGACCTCGAAGGTCGTCGACTTGTCTGCTTCGATGGTGACCGGGCCGTCTGCCAACCCTTCTGGGAGCGCGGAGAGCTCGAACTTGCCATCGGAGTCTGCACCCTCTGGGATGAAGATCTCGGAGATCTCGAGGTCCTGCGTCGGGCTGCAGTTGATGATCTGGATCGTCTTGATGGTGTCGCGGCTGATCTGGCTCTGCTCGAAGTCGAGACGGTGCGTCTCGTCGCCTTGAGGCTCCTCGACTTGCTCGGCGGGTGGGCCGAGTTTGATGCATGGCGAACCGGCGTTGCCGACGAGCTTGATCTCGACCTGGCTGTTCGCAGGATCGTTGCTCGAGACGAAGATGCTCGCGTCCGAAGGCGCGTCCGAATCGGGCGCGAAGGAGACGCGGATGTCGATCTTCTCACCGGGCTCGAGCGATGGCGCCCAGGTCTCGCTGTCGCGGCTCTCGTCTTCTGGAGCGTCCGCGTCAGGGAAGCTCAACGAGAAGTCCGTGTTCGACGATGGGCTCAGGACGATGTCCTTGAGCTGGAGAGGCGACTTCCCGGTGTTCTGGATGAAGGAGATGCGCGAGTCCTTGGCGCCAGCGGCGACGCGTGGGAAGCGAATCTCGTTCTCGACCGTGATGGCTGGCCCGAGCTCGGGCGTCACCAGGTTCACCGTCGCTTCGGTCGCGTCCGGGTCGTTCGTCGCGAAGGTCACCGTGCCGGTGTCGACCGTGGTGTTGAGCGGCGTCCACTCGAACTCGAGCTCGAGGCGCTCGCGCGGTGCGATGAAGATGACCTTGCCGTCGTTGAGCGCGTTCAAATACTCGAGCGTCAACTCACCGACCGGGCGGAACTCGCGGGCGTTGTCGGTGTTGTCCTCGGCCAGCTCGATGCTGTCGATACGCAGGTTGCCCTGCCCCGAGTTCACCACGCGCAACGTCTTCCTGTTCGGCTCGCCGATGGAGACCTGCTCGAAGTTGATCGTTTGCGGGCTGAGCTGGATGTTCGACTGGGCAGCACCCTGAATGTTGTTGCCCGCGCCGCCATTTTCCTCGGCTGCGCCGCGCACATCACCGATCACGACCGCCTTGTCCTCGGAAAAAGGATCCTCACCGGTTCCGGCGTCATCATTACACGCTGGCAGCGCGATAAGCGCCAGTAGCGCGATCGCGCCCCACAACCGCAAGCTCTTCGCATCTTCGCAAAACATCTTCATCTTGCCTCTCTCTTCTCTTCTTTGATGTGCCACGACCCCAAAGAAGAGTCGTTGGTTACGTCCTAAAGACGGCGAATCATAAGTAGTGTGACAATGTGCGTCAATGTCGTCTTGCATCAGCGCGACTTCTCGACACTTTTTGGCAATCTTCGCCCTGTCATCATTTCTTACGCGTGGGGCAGGTCGCGTGGTAAACTTTTTTCGAATTTTCTTTGTCCCAGACGCGATCTTCTTTGTGGAGGAACCTTTTCGAAGCGCCCGTTGTCTTTAGGAAAGACGCTTGAATGGCGCATCTGATGCATGTTTCGTTGCCAGCGAGTTCACACCTTGCTCCTGTTTGCCAAAAACGCATTCCCGATCTTTTTCGCGCGCTCGAACACCCCAGTGCTCGTGCGCGCCGCGATCCTGATCGGGCTCGTTTTTGTGATCGCGTCGTGCAAAACGACCGCCTCGACCCCCGAAATACCCGATCGCTCTGCGCCTGTTTTTGCCAACGCGCAGCCTCGCGACGACGCGCTCGCTGATCTCCTCGAGCGCGAACGCACACGACAACGCAACCTGAATGTGGCTCGAACGAGCCTCGATAAACAGGGACTCTCCAACAACTGCGCTCGCTTCGAGCAGGCAAAAACCACCGAAGAGGTCGGCCCCAGAGCATCCTGGCTCCAGGTCTGGTGCGCGCTGAGGACCAATCACTGGCAAGCCGTGCTCGCCCGCGCCCCCAGAGCGATCGCCTACTTCGAGGTCAGCGGCGAGCTTCGAAGGCTCGTCGAAGTGCACCTCTCGAGCGCGCTCGCCGCACATCACCTCGAGGATCTGGCCGAACGCGAGCGTCACATCGCGCGCGCGGAGGAGCTCCTGTTTGCCTCGCGTCAACCGCTCACCGGAGGGCTGCGCGATCGAGACGCGGGCGATCTCCCCTATTTGATCGCGCGCCTGCTCCATCTCGGCGTGGCGATCTCCTTGCCACACGATCCCGTCGACCCGGCTCGCCTGCTAGAGCTCGCGAGGTTCGAGTACGCCAGCACCGATCGCGCCCACGCGATCCCACACGTCTGGCGCGCGCACGCCGAGCTGTCACTCGACAGGGGAGAGCTCTCCAACGCCGCCGCCGCGCTCTCCTCGGCCATCGAACACGATCGCCAGAGTATGGCGCGCGGCGGCATGCTCGAAGATCTGATCCTCTTCTCTTCGTTGGCCAGGGTGTCTGGCGCGAACGCCTGGGCGGATGCTTCGATCGATTGGCTGTTTGTCCACGAGCACGGCGAGCTCGTCCTCGGCAGGATCGAAGAGGCCGTGGTCCCGACCGGCCAAAGTCAACTGCGATACCTCGTCTCCAATCAACAGGGGCGCCTGCGTATACTTCGCGCCGTGCGCTCGATCCGACGCGATCCCAAGACCGCGCTGCATCCTCCCGAGGATATGCTCGAGCTCTTCCGCGAGCTGGAGGAGCTCTCCCTGCTCGAGGGGAGCAGCTGGGAGATCGCGCAGGAGATCGGGTTGATGTTTGCCGAACTCGGCGAGCCTGTTCACGCGCGCCGTTACCTCGAGCACGCCGTCGAACAGGTCGAGGCGATGCGGCGCTCCATACCAGATCTCCAACAGCGCCAGCGCTTCTTTCAGGATAAGCGCGACCTTTATATGGCGCTCGTGCATGGATACGTCGGGATCGATACAGCGAGGTTGACTCAGGAGGACTACAGAGCCGCGCTCGAGCTGTCGGCGAGGATCAAGGCGCGCGGGATGCTCGACCTCCTCGACGGTCATCGCTTCACCGCTCCCCAGCAGCCGCGCGAGCCGATCTACAAGCTCGCTGACCTCCCTATCGATCGCGCGCTCGGCGAAGTCGCCGGGTGGCTCGCGCGCTGGGAGCGCGATGCTGTGACTGCGTCCCCCGAGACCATCGCATCGCCCCAGGCCTCGAACCTCGCGTTGCCAAAAGGGGTGATTCTCCTCGAGTACCTCCTCACCGAGCGCTCCGGGTATGTGTGGGTGGTGACTTCGGATGGGACGATCTCGATGCGTCGCATCGCTGGCCGTCGGGTGATCGCGCCATTGCTCGCTGATTTTCGCGAGACGCTCGTCGACCATGACTACGATCGCGATGACTTCTCGCGCCATCGCGAGCTCTCGGAGCGTCTCTACGTCGAACTCATTGGCCCCGTGCAGGATCTTATCGTCGGCGCAAACAAGATCTACCTGGCGCCTGATGACATCCTCCACGAGCTGGCCTTCGAGGCGCTCGCGCGGCCATCGCGCGAGCGCATCCCCGATTACATGGTG